TGATAGGAGGGCTAGGTCATCTGCGAAGTCCAAATCGTCTAATTGATTCTGAGCTGTCCATTGTATTCCGTGTTTTCCTTCAGATGTTGAGGTCTTCATAATCCAGTCGACCACCAGAAGAAAGAGGAAGGGAGAGAGTAAACAGCCTTGTCTGACTCCGGTCCTTACTTGGAATGCATCTGTCAGCTGTCCTCCATACACTACTTTGCACTGTAGTCCGTCGTATGAGTTCCGGATAATATTGACAATCTTCTCAGGAACTCCGTAGTGTCGAAGAAGTTTCCATAATGTCTTCCTATCTACACTGTCAAATGCCTTTTCATAATCAATGAAGTTGATGTATAGTGATGAGTTCCACTCAACTGATTGTTCGAAGATGATCCGTAGTGTTGCAATTTGGTCTGTGCACGGCCGATCCTTACGGAATCCAGCTTGTTGATCTCGAAGTTGGGCGTCTACTGCATCCTTCATCCGGTTCAGCAACAATCTGTTGAAGACTTTCCCTGGTATTGACAGTAGTGTTATGCCTCTGTAGTTTTCACATTTGCTCAGATCTCCTTTCTTTGGAATCTTGACGAGGTGTCCTTCTTTCCAGTCCATCGGGACTTGTTCCTCCTCCCAAATCTTTTTGAATAGAAGATAAAGCATGCTTGTGGTTGCTTCGATGTCTGATTTCAGTGCTTCAGCTGGTATGTTGTCGGGTCCTGCTGCTTTCCCGTTCTTGATTTGTCTGACGGCCACTCTAATTTCTTCCGTAGTTGGTGGATTGACATCTATAGGAAGATCTATGTGTGCTGCTTCGATGTCCGGTGGATTCATTGGAGCCGGCCTATTCACGAGTTCCTCGAAGTATTCTACCCATCTGTTACGTTGTTGTTGAATTTCGGTGATTGGCTTGCCTTCTTTGTCTTTGACCGGCCTCTCTGGTTTACTGTAATTCCCTGCTAGTTTCTTCGTTGTATCGTGAAGTTGTTTCATATTTCCTTCTCTAGCAGCTTTTTCTGCCGTCGTTGCTAGTTCTTCCACGTATTTCTTCTTGTCGGCTCTAATGCTCCTATTCACTTGTTTGTTTGCTTCTATGTATTCAGCTTGTGCTTGGACTTTCTCTGCTCGTGTTCGGCTGTTGTTTATTGCTGCCTTCTTGTTCTTCCTTTCTTTGATCTTGTCCAGTGTTTCTGTAGAGATCCATTCCTTATGATGGTATTTCTTTAGACCGAGAACCTCTTGACACGTTGAAGTTAATGCTTCTTTGATACTTTTCCACTTGTCCTCCATAGTAGTTTCTTCTTCTTTCAGTAGATCTTGTAAGGCTTGGAACCTGTTGTTGAGAGCTATCTTGAATTCATTGAGTTTGACAGTATCTCGAAGGAAGGCTGTATTGAACCTTTGTATTGCTGTTTGTCCACTTGTCCAGTTCTTTTTTAGCTCCAGTTTTAAATTGGCTACAACTAGGTGGTGATCTGAAGCTACGTCAGCACCTCTCCTGGTTCTCACATCTTCCATTGTCCTTCGGAATTTTTTGTTAATGCAAATATGATCTATTTGGTTCTCTGTAGTGTGGTCCGGTGAGATCCATGTAGCCTTGTGTGGAAATATTGTGCCTCCTATGACCAATTTGTTGAATCCACATAGATTTGCAAATCTTTCTCCATTTTCGTTTCTTTCTCCCAGTCCATGTCGTCCCATGATATCTTCATATCCAGTGTTGTCTATTCCGACTTTGGCATTTAGATCTCCCATCAGAATAGTTAGGTCCTTTCTTGGGCATTTCTCAATGATTGACTGCAGCCGCTCGTAGAATTGATCTTTAATTTCGTCGTTGCTATCATTGGTGGGTGCATAACACTGGATAATATTCATTAAGACCCCCTCCTTCTTTGTTTTGAATGATGCTTTGATGATTCTGGATCCGTGAGATTCCCATCCTACAAGTGCATTTCGTGCTACTTTGGACAGCATAAGAGCGACTCCCTGAGTGTGTGGAGCATTGTCCTCTTCGTGACCGGAGTATAGCAGCATCTCTCCCGTAGCTAGCCTTTTCTGTCCAGCTTGGGTCCAGTGGGTTTCGCTGATTCCCAGTACTGCTAAGTTGTATCTCCTCATTTCCATTGATATTTGACTGGTCTTCCCGGTTTCCCACATTGTTCGAACGTTCCATGTACCTATAAAAATTTTTGCTCTGGTTGTTAGAAGGGGCATCGGCCTCGTGGCTTCCGAAGGAACTCGGCTTTCACCATGAAGCGTCATAATTCTTCCAAATGAAGACCTTCTAACTCCCAGGGCAGAGTTAAAATGGTTTGGATTATTTTTTCTGGTAAGCGTTTTTTTAGCGAGTTAGTTTCCTATGGGATGGGGACGCTAACCCCATGCCCAACCCTCCTCCTTTACCCGGGCTTGGGACCGGCAGCAACCCTATAAGAGCTACAGGCGGAGTTATATGCGGGAAGGTAACGAGTTAATTTACCTGCATGTTATATTATCATGTCGTCGCCAAATACTAATTTCAGAACATTACGAGGAAGCCTCCGTGCTGTAGATTAATACTTAGTAAAGTCGTGCATTGATATCATGTTTTGGTGTAACTGTCATATCAGTTTTTTCTGCTTCAATTAGCTCATTAATTTAGGTTTAAAATTCCACTAATTGGTCTTTATTTCTGAACTAAGATTTTGTGTTTAACTTTAACACTATTTACTCAGCAATTCCAACACACACAAGCAGCACTTCGAGGATACTTACAACTCAATATTTTCTAACCCTCAAAAACTTCTAAAAAGATGTACATTAGAATAAAACAAACTGCAACAAAATCCTAGTGTCAGTAAGTGTTTGTTATCCTACAAGAACCAGTTGCAGGTTACATTAAGAAAAGTCGAATACGTTGTGGATTTTATTTGGAATTTATCACAGGATATACACTAAAAAGCTTCCGGTAGTTTTAAATGGCGCATTTGCTAGACAGAAAATGATAATCAACAAATAAATGAATCATGGACATGTAAGTGGTTGAATAACGAAGTAATTTTCAAAACATTACATCTAGTTCGACTAAATTTTGTTGAAATGGTTATCTAAGTTTAATAAGTAGTTCATCGGGACTTTCTCCCTGATAATTATAAAGCTACTCGCAACTGATTAGACATATTGTAATTATAGATAATAAGAAGCTATGTTACAGTGACATTTCCGCAATATTTAAACACACTATTTAGCAACTTGAAATCTTCATATTTTGCTATAATGGATGACTTTGCTATTCTATGTTTACAAATAGCTCGAAACGGTTGCCACTAGTAGTGTATTGGTCGCGTTCTAATAGGAATGAAGTAGCGACCGACCTAGCCACTTTACATCAATTAGTAAGATGCTTGCAGCTCAATTTCTCTGGGCCTAGTTCAGCACGAGATCACTACATCGTGTCCCAACGCTATGAGTAGTTGAACTTACGATACGTTTTTTTAGCTAGAGCTTTTGACAATAATTGATGCCGCACAGAACCTACATTTATTTTATTTAACTCATGTGAATTCTGGTACAGTGAGGGACCAAAATAAATGGACTATACAAATGAAGTGATAGTATTGCGAAAAAATAAAGGGGAGAGCAATCATTAAATAAATGATTATAAACAAGTGCTTGCCTATACGCATGTATTGCAGCATTTGTATTTCGAAGTTCCATAAATTCATGACCTTGGTGGAAAAATCAGCAAACAAATGACTTTAAGACCATACAAAAATAAAGTATCTTTGCTGAAAACAAAATGGAAAGAGACGTAGTTCAGTCTAGACGATCATAGCCGTCGTCTACATGATGATATCGAGACATTTTAAACGTGTTATCACAAAAGTTCAAATCGAATTATTAACACATACCACTAACACAATATACTAAGATGGATATATGTATGCAGACCAACTGAACAGCAGGTAAGTGGACCGACATATCAAATAGATTATACTAATAAACGAAAACAGTTTAAGCTGTTTAATCCAATTATAAGTTTATTTTTATTCATTGCATGCATATAGATTCCGGTACAATGTAGGACCAATAAAATTGCATCACAAAAGAAATACGAGAGGAAATGGTAGTACAATCATTAAATAAATGGATAAAAACAGTATGTAGTAAGAGATATAGTTCAGTCGATAATACATTCAAAAAAGAAACCATCCAGTTAAAGGAGTTCACCTAACTTACGAAGAAAGTGATACGAAACTACAGCGGAATCGTCAGTGGCTTTTATTTTGAACTATATTTGATAGCATCTTAAGCTACAGAGTCGTACCATCTCTAAGACCCCGAATGGGGATTCGTGATGACTCGTCAGATGCTAGTTCTATGCAGTTGTCTACAATACTGCGGTACAATGTCACTAAATGGCCACAAATATAACGATGGTTTCTAATTGACTAAATCTACTAATGCATAGCATTAATAGTCAGTTTAAGTTTAATATTGGTTAATATCATGCATTGGTAAATATATGTCTGAAAATTTGGCGGGAACTACTTTAATGGTTAAACTCTGTGTGAACTGCGTGTCTAAGGATTTCTTTCGGCTCATGTGTAGTTAGACGTTGGGAAAACAAATGTTTCATTCGAAGTTGTAGCAATAAAATGTTTTTCCATAACCGGGAATAATGACCTACTTAAACTCCAAACTATCATATGGATTGGAAGTGAAGGTCAATTGAGCTAAATGAAAGATGACTGGCAAACTAGCGTTTATAACTTTCCGATAGTAATTCTTTTATGGGAAATCTTAGAGGAAGTTATTTTTTAAAACTTCAGATACGCTTTACTGACAAGTACCGACAATTACGGTGTTTTACTTTTACGATTAGGTCGCTACATATTCACATTCTAAGAGACTACTACAGTCAAAAACTAAAACTTAGTTCATAGGAATTAAGCTTCGTTCTTTAGAAAATAATAAAAAATGTAGATAAGAGCTGTACAGGTTACAATACACTGGTTTCTAGTTTCACATTTGCATCAGCCACGAGCACTCTCCATTTCATGGGGTTGTAGTGAAACCTTACTGAGAAATGCTAAATAGCCTTTGTTGCATCGATTCGCATAATGTCCTTTCTCTCCACATTTAAAACATGTTACTTCGTCAAGTGGTTTTTGTGGGCCTTGTCGAGGTCCAGTAGGGGCAGCCTGTGAGGTCCCCATAAGACCACCGAACTTGAGACGTTCCGAAACAAAACGAGATCCGGGATTAACACCTTGTTGAGGTAACGCTGCGCCGCCAGTGCTAATATTCTGCATTCGCTGCTGCTCCTGTAGTCGAAGACGTTCCTCAGGTGATAGTTTGAGGCAAAATTGTATTTTGTGTCCACGTTCATCTAAAATGCAAAATACGGTACATTTTAAAGTCGAAAGACAGAAACTAATACACAGTATATGATGTAGAGGAAACTTACTGCAGTAATGACATATCCAGCGGCTTTTCTGTGTATCTTGATCACTTCCTGGAAGGGGCCACCATATAGGACTACAAAGTTTAGAAATAGAGTTTTACTCACTGCGCATATTTACATTCACGTCCTTTAGGACAAAAACCATTTATGTAGTTTTTGCACGCTACTCGTCTGACATGTCGATTTCGGCACAAAGGACCTAGACATATCTCTAAAAGTAAGAATCCTATTACCGTTTCTGCAAAACCCTCTATCATACCAAGGGCAATCCTGTACCTTAGAAGCGGGGTCAATATGAAGAAATGGACATTCTTTATTCATACACTCTCCTGTATACCACTAGTAAGAAATAATCTGAAGCTCAACTTACCAAATTTCGAAAAGAAGTAACATTCTGGCATTTTAGTCATGTCATATTCGTGTAGGAACTCGCAGTCATCACCTTTTTTGCACAATCCACGAAGCCAATGCTTGCATACGACTGTCCTGTCAGCTTTGATATGTCTCAAAGGACATAAATTATTAAGGGGACATTGATTAATAATAAAAAAACGACAAACGCCAGCACCGGACTCTAAAGAAACAGTATTAAATAAAATCTAAATAACTGTTCATATTTGAGAAAGGCAAACATCCCAATCCAATTTGATTTTCTAGTTGGCTCTCAATGATAAAGTCAATGTCTGATACATCTGCTATTAAATTGTCCATCTCAAGATTAGCTACAAAAGACCAAATTCATATAAGATTTTACTACTTAAATATTAGTGATACAGAAAGAAAATGAAGTCTACTGGTGACCAGTTCTATAGATATCTTATGTAAACTAGAGGTTTTAAGGAATATGAGTACCTACGTACGAGCGCGCTAATACCATGTTTTGGGAAATGAGGAAATTATTTGTTAATAAATGTAAAGATTGTAGATCGGTTCCAACCAACAATATTTGATCTACTTCATAGCTCCTTGTGTAATCCCTAATTTATAAATACTCTTGCAACAGCGGAGCAAAGCTATATCAAATGAATGATGATGATGGAGTTTTAGTACATAATTTTTTTCGAAACATATGTAGTAAACCATTTTCTAATGCAAAGCTAAGCTAGTTGATGTATTTGAGGACAAGTATAAACTGACATCACTGCGACGCATTATTCAGTTTACTAACTAATATTTTGTCTCATGCTTCTCTCCTTTACCCGGTTTATTACACTGCTATGTCAAGTATGGAATATTTTCAAATTACCCTCAAAAATTCTAAATTGGGTGAAAAAGTTTAACGTAATACCGGATGTGTTTACAACTGATTTGCTAACGGAAAGTGGTCATACATAGCTACGTTAATACTCTGGCAAACAATTGTAGCCAAAAAGAATTTATGAGCTAACGACTCACACTACCTATGCAATCTGTATAGTGGATCAGTCATCTTCAATCGATAACCCAATACAATCAATAAACAACATTTTTTAATTTCTCTACGGAGTTTAAAAGAATATTGAGCCTCATTGGTAGTTAACCTTTTGTCTTGAAACAGAAACAAACTAAATGTAATTCGTATGACAGATAAACTAGATAATACTCACTAAGAAAATGCCTGATAACGGTCACGATGAGAAAACACCGTATTATTGTAAATTGGATTTATCCTACATGTAAAGCTGGTCTAACAGATTAGCTATTGACCTCTATTCTGAGCCATGTCTGGTAACGTCTCAAGTCATTGAGTTGCACCATATCTCGGGCCCCAGTCAAAGAGTTGTAATGGACAAATAGATGCTAGTCCTATTCAGCTTTTTTCACACCCCAGTATCATGGAAATCGAGTTCCAAAGCTATAGAGTAAAACAACTTGCACCGACGCGTTGTAGACCCAACCTTTCACAACCAGACTAGCATCACGACAGCGACAAGGAGAGTCCGAGTTGAGGCAACCCTCTCTGGGTTCCACTTTACGCAGACTGATCTCACTACTTACACCACCACCGGCAATATCGTCGTAAAGTACTCCAACTCTTTATGAAGTTGAAAAAGCTATACGAAATCTGAAGCGTGGGAGAGCAGCAGGACCTCACAAGTTTACCTCTGAGATTTTTAAGGATGGCAGTCCAGTATTTGCAGTGAGGTTGACTGAGGCCTTAGGTAGAGTCTGGAAGCTGGACGTAATCCCATCTGACTGGTCTCAATCACTGGTTGTGCCAGTCTATAAGAAAGGACAAAAGTCATCTTGTGACAATCACAGAGGAATTAGTTTGACTAATATAGTGTCTAAAATATTACCTTTAATAATACTTCGACGCCTTACTAAAGCTCGTGAAGAGCAGACTAGAGAAAACCAGGCTAGTTTTCGACCTGGACGTGGTTGTATAGACCAGATATTCACACCACGTCAGGTCCTAGAACACAGACACACATTCAGACACCCCACAATAATAGTATTCCTCGACCTTACGACGGCATTTGACTCGGTCGATTGTGAGGTTCTATGGCAGTGTTTGTCACTGAAAGGAGTACCGAAGAAGTACAATAACCTTAGAAAAGCTCTCTACTCGAACACAACTAGCCGAGTGAGAGCTTATGGCGAACTACCATCAGAATTGGTTACCTCAATTGGTGTTCGTCAAGGCTGTCCACTCTCTCAATTCTTGTTTAACTTTGTTGTTGAAGTGCTTTCAGAGATAACACTTTCTTCATCTAAATTTTCAGAAGTTGAACTTTTACAGCGAGACTCACTTGACTTAGAATATGCCGGTGACATAGTTCTGCTTGGTGAAGACGCTGACAAAATGCAGAGTTTTCTGACCACCGTAAGCAACAATGCAAGCATGTTCGGGCTGCCAGACCAAAACATGACACAAATCAATGGAGTCACTGACAAGTGGACTGAGCCATGTTGGTAGGTGTAGACTACCTGGTTGGGATCCGCGAGACGATAGCAACCGATGGTTAGACACTTGGAATGACATGGCCAAAAATCGTTTGCAGTGGTGCAGGTGCATCCACTCTTTGTGTTCTCCCAAATTCTAATCTTCTGAATTCTTCATGTCCCTTTTTTCTCTTTCAAAATTTATTTCACTGTATTATACTCCTTGAATAACATCTTCGAACCCTAATTTTTCCGATTACTGCTTATACTTTTACTACCTCTACCACTACGGTATTTGAATTGACAATTGTATCTCTGTGCTAATGTGGTATGGCAACTCGAATTGATGTACGGACATACGTACGAAGTTCCACGTTGTTGATAACTGACTGAATATCGTCTCTATACTCAAGATAGAAGTCTTTCTTCGAGTAGCAGACCCACTCCACGAGTAATCCCATCAGAGCTACCTTTATAATGCAATTGATGATAAAGTTGAGGAGCAACATTTAAACTGAACAATTCTACTTAATCCCGTTTCTGAGACATAATAATCTCTCGAACCTTTCCATACAAGCAGCAGCCTCTGCAATAGTAGGGCTCAACATACACAAGTGAAAAAGCGAAATCCTGAAATACAACACAGGGAACACTAACCCAATAACACATGGAAAAACTCTGGAAGAGATGGGAACTTCCATGTGTCTGAGAAGCATCATTGATGAACGAGGAGGATCGGATGAAGTAAAGGCAAGGATTGGCAAAGCAAAGACAATATTTCTACAGCTGGACAACATATGGAACTCAAAACAACTGTCAACCAATATCTAAGTCAGAATATTCAATACGAACGTCAAGACAGTTCTACTGTACGAAGTTGAAACTTGGAGAACTACTACAACCATCATCAAAAATGTACAAGTATTTATAAACAACTGTCTACGCAAGATACTGAATGTGCGTTAGCCATGTACGATCAACAACAGCCTACTGTGGGAGAGAACAAACCAGCTTCCAGATGAAGAGGCAAGTTCGGTAAGACTCTGGAAGTGGATAGGACATACATTGTGGAAATCATCAAAACGGCATCATGAGGTAAGCGCCAACTCGGAATCACCACCCCTGGTACGGCCGAGAGTGAGGAAAGTCCGCTCATCCTCTAGTATACAGCCACTGCCAGGGAAGTCCTACTCCCTTCTCGCGAACGGGGTGTTGTTTACGAAATTGAGAGGACGAAAAGCGAATGTCCAGCGCTTTAACCGGGTTGATGGACACGGAGGGTTTACCTAGGGGAGTTAGAAAACCATGATTCCAAAACAATGGCGTGCATGGGCTCTAGGATCTGAAAGAACAAATGCAATGCGAACCAACAGTCGGTCACCGGCTACCATGGGACTGCATCTCTCGATGTCGCTCCATTGCCTTGTGGATCAGACCTTTAGGTCGAAGGCTCCGGGTGTGGCCGCTTAAGAAAACTACCTGTTTCGGTCTGGGCATTCGGGCAGTATCACAGTCCACACATAAATCACGTGACTGTGTTGCACATATGTACTCAGTCCTCCTTTGTACCAATATTCATGTGTTCAAATAAATAAAATAAATAACTCGGAATACTAAAGTGAAGAGGAAAAGAGGAAGAATAATGGGTATATTGAGTCGGAAATCGGAGGTAAACATCAAAAGAATGAACAGAAACTTCTAAGGATTGCCTAGGACAGAGTTCGATGGAGAATCCTGGTGGGCGGCGCATGCTCCTCCGCGAGAGGTAACAGGCGTAAGTTCCCAAACAGCCTAGTCACTTCTCTGACCGAGAGTCCATCACCTTCCTTCAAAAGAGCCGAAGTTCAGCCATCTAGGTCTAGTGACCTGCGGCGCTTCAGGGGTCGGAGTTTCTTGCATATCATCTCGTTCGGTGGATCAGTCGTCACCAGAAAATCTTATCGATGCTTTTGGGGCAACACGTTAGCTGCACTGTTCCTCAAAGTGCCCTGCCCACTGTCCAAGACGTCTAAGGACGTTACTGATTGGTGTACTACTAGCGTGACAGATCTTTTACTCACAATAGGATAATTTCTGTCAGTGGCTATGAGTTGAAAGTTTACGGCAGAAACCAGATGCAGCTAATGCTTTTGACTCGTCAGGAAGCGCTAATCATGTTTCTTGGTTCTTACACAATTCTTTGAAAGTCTTTATACAATTCGCCCCAAAGTAGACTGACGTAACTCGAGGAACGAGTAATCTTGAAGTTAGACGCAGCGTACTTGGTAAGGATGGCAAACTGACCGATGAAATAGTAAATATTTATCCTCTGAGATGGCTAGGACATACGTTACGTATGCCTAATCACCGCCTACCGCGACGTGAGACGATGGCTAGTGTGAGAGTAAGTTGGAAGAAAGCTAGGGTGCCCAAACCAGGACGTGACACTTGCATATGAAGATACTGGCTGTTAGAGTGAGCTGTGTATGTAAGTGTAGACTACCTCATTGAGGTCTACATTATCATAACTATTTGTTAAAGACTTCGAGTGATCGGCTTAATAACCGAAAGAAGCTTAAATCTCATTGAATAAGGTTTCCCCATGACTTCTCTGAGTGTAGTTATTTCTTATCCACTTGTTAGTTTTTTGTCCTAAGATGTAACCAAGGATCTCATTATCATGAAACATATTCCTAATGGTAACGATGTATTCGTAGGCACATAACTCGACAAATACGTTCTTGTGTTGGTATTTAAAGTTTGTAGAACTATTTAGGGTAACTACCCAAGCTCCCAATTTGGGGGAAAATTTGGCACATTTTAAGGAAGCCGCTATAGTAAACTTTGAGGAAATTTTGGGCAAATGGCACAAAAACCCCAAAATTTCCCCAGACTTGGGGAAATCCCCAAAGTTCCCCTCTAACCTTGGTCAAGGTCAGTTGATTTTGGGGATTTCCCCAAAATTTTCCCAAAGTTCCTCAAACATTGGTGAAGGTCATTTGACTTCGTGAGTTTCCCCAAAATTTCCTCAAAGTTGGGAGCTCGGGTAAACTTCTGGAAGAACTACGTCTTGGGTACGGAGGTCAAAATAAATATTATGTTCCGATAGGTAAGCATCACAAGGACAAATATGATGAACATGACCAAAAAACGAGTTTTTGAGTAGGGATGCTATCACCGAATTAAAAGTCTGATATCAGATAAAGAACTTAGAAACTAATAACCCTACTAAGTGAATTAATGACGGTTTTTAATCCTGGAAGAAATTGTCTAGTCGTCATTCATGAAAAAAACAAGATACCGCTCTAAATTAAAACTAGGAGCGTGGCAGAGAAGTGACAACATAAGTTCCAAGCGAATATTCAAATGGTGTTGTAAGACAATTCTATGTTTAAAAGAGAACTCAAAACGTTAACGGTATCGTGAACCTCAAAGCCAGGAAACCTTCTGAATATAGTTTTGCTACATAAAATTTATAACCGATCCCATTCTACAGCTGAGTTAAGAATTAAGGAGGGCAGAAAGTGAACGTTCTTCAGAATTAATTGATTCTGACTGATACGCGAGGTCTAGATTACTTTGACAACATTAGTAAAATGTCAGATCAACATTTTTACTATATTAATATTCAGAATTTACTGACTATTTGTGCAAATTACACGAGTAAATTGTTATCTGGTCGGTTGAAGTGAAACTAACCTTCAGTCGTAGGCAATGCTCCTAGGGTATCGTCCACTGATGGGGGTTGCGAGCACTTGAAGGTCAAACTGTCGCAAAATGATTGGTGCGTCACATCGACAATTCGTGAAAATTTTCAGAAGCGGTCAAATCAAGACATTTTTGGATTTGAATTGAGTTCAGCTACACTATGTCTGATAACGTTCATTCTTCAAGCAACGAAGACGATTCCATCGTGATGATGCATGATATAGGCCGAATCTTCAATGATATTATGTTATCTCGAAGATTTACAAGTTGGGACAATTTTGAGACCTGTTTGAAAGAAGTACATAAGGTAATATGACCTCTGTGGTTAATAATTATTTTTTTAGTATACGCATACTAAGTACGTTATGTCAGTATGCAAAAAGAACAGTGATGATCCAACTCTAAAGTACTTTTTCGTGAGATATGTCTGTACATATGGACGTAAACGCAGTTCGTCAGAGTCAGATGCTTGCGTTCAGGATGTAGATGATGATGGTAATAATCATTCTTCTGAAGAGCATACAACTTCTAACTCGCCAACACAACCTAGGCAAAGGAGACGACGTCGGTCATCTACGTATGCCTTACTTCAAGTGAATTTATCCTTCAAGTCGAAATATTGCCACTGTAAATCAGGATTTTGGGTCCGGGCACTGAATGGTGAGTTGAAACTCACCTCTATTAAAACCGTGCACAACCATCCTTGCACAGAAGGATATATTTCTGTCGATCCATCGAAACGACAGCTGACCTCAAGTGAACGCTTGTATTTAAGAACGTTTCTACTGAGTAATACACCAACTCGTAGCTTACGGTATCTGGTTTCTTTGAAGTTCAATAAACAACTTACCAAGGACGATATCGCCAGAATGCGTTCACAGTTGTACCCAGGTTGTTGAACTCACATTGTAATTAATTGAGTTTAGACACTAAAAATATCAATAACATTTTACAGCGCATTCAAGGAAAGACTGAAATTAAAGTATTCTATGAAAATGGGAACATGTCTATGATTTGCTTCAGCCGCAGAGAGCAAATAGCTGTTTACCACGCGTTCCCGGAAGTAATATGTATTGATTCGACTTATCAGACAAATAAAGTCGGGTAAGTGACGATTAGTAATAAATTTATCTGAAAGCTTTCCACTGTTCCAGCTAGTGGTCACTGATAGTCTTGGGCAAGGGCACACTGTTATGTATGCTCTTTGCAGTCAAGAACGACGCGAAGATATAGAAAAACTATTGGAATGTTTTAAAGAGATAATGTGCGGTATTTATGCTACACGCACGTTCATTATGGATTCGGCAGCGACCGAAATTTCGGCTGTGCAGTCTACGCACAGTCATTCTAACATAATACTTTGTTCATTCCATGTCCTAAGAGCGTTTTTCAGGAAGGTATGTGTTAGCTGTACAAATTATTTTCTGTAGTTCCGAAATCCTGATGTGCGCAAATGCTTGGAACAGCTTGTGAAGACTAGACGGTCTGATATGTGAGCTTCGCTTTTCATAGCGCATTATATTCAGATTTACTCGAAAGTACGAACATCTAAGAACGCATTTTCCACGGGCGTATGATTACATAAAAGATTACTGGATTGCTAGGAAGTCAATGTGGGCTCGCTGTTACCGGCGACATGTATTAAGCCTGGGCAACCACACAAACAACCGTGTTGAAAGTGCTCATAAACACCTAAAAGAATGTCTCAGAAGAGGTGATTCCCTATTATTGACGTTCTGGAAAATTTGGAGTAAAACAGACATTGATCTACGTTTGCGTCCTTATGACGCTGTGAAGGATCTTCAACGTTTTCCTATTCTTCCGGTAAGAAATATAGTTAAATGTATCATTAATTCCAGGTTCCAATGTCATTTCGAACTCTTCTAAATGAGTTCACATCTTTTGCAGCTAAAATTGTAGGTGTAAATTATAAACGTGTTCGGACAATGAGACACGAATTTATAGAAGGAGAATACATCCGGTGCTACGACAAGGGTATGATGTATGTTGTTGATACTTCACGTGCACGATGTGCTTGTGAGCGTTTCAATGACTACATGCTGCCCTGTGGTCATATTTTGTATGCACATTCTAAAGATCTGATTCGCGGAGGTATGTGTGTTCCTTTATCTCTATAAGTTTTGTAGACTTATTTCGACATAGCAACCGGTGGACAAGAAAATACATAATGGACCTGGTTCTTCGTGCGCTGGACAACATCTCAATCTCTACAGGGAGTGATGATCTGCTAGAGAAGTTCACTAGCAACTACCACTCAATCCATGCTCTTAGTGAACCTATGGCAAGTAAACTCATCCGTTCATGCCTCGAAGCATCGGAAGACATATGTGCACAGTTGATGAGTTCAGTCGGTGCTAATGATGAAGCTACAACGTCAGAATCCATTGTTAATGCAGACCATAGCTATGCTTCTTGCTAACAAGAAGTTCTAATATTGTAATCTTTTTAGTCTTACATAAATTCATTTATATGGCCATTGACTTATTCTTATAGCGTAACGGCAGGGAGTGTACTGTGCAGTCTTATGCGGCTGTGAGACAGGGATGTTGTTTCGCGTTCTTGTGTAATAATTACCAGTTTGGCGCACACGCGATTAGTTATACATACCGTTTACCAAATACTGCTACCTTGAACATGGTGTACCATACTAGTAGTTCGGATTTCGACGTGTCACGATAGATAAGAATTGCCGTAATTAAGAGACTGGTGCGTTATAAATGTAAACGTTTATTAAAGTTTGAATCTAGCATAAATGATCCATTAATAAATAACTTCTACTTCTCAGGAATTGTTCCCGTTAGGTCTGTGAACGCTTGCGAAGCTAGCTGGAAATAAGATAGACAGGGAAGTTATTTCAGTATAAATGTTTACCAGAAACTAGTATAAAAACAGAAACCAGTATCCAATTACAGATCGAAAGTGCATTTAGCACACCCTTCCTTTGGATAGTCAATCACGCTTATTTCCTTTATCTCTTGCGTTGCTTAGGAAAGTCTGGGTCACAACATACACGGATTGTATTATTTAATTCTTTGGGCAGGTTGCACTTCAGAAACTTAGACGATGAACATATATAAAGACTACTGTGTGAATTTACTTTCAATCGTCCTGTGTAACCTGAAATTCTTGATGCATATTCTATTCTAGTCCCACGTAAGTTATGAGTAATTGTCATTTACGGCATCAGCACGTAAGCTAGACAGGCCTTGATGGATTTCCGAAGATCATCACATAGGATCTCACACAATCTGGTCACCTTAGATCAAGATATCTTGACTATCGAATCGTACTTTTCAGTGCTTTCTCGTAACAGCTTTATATCAGTACTTATTTCTGATATTAGGTATTTTTGCAATAATACCGGCAGCCAAAACATTGTAGCTCCCCAGACAACCCAAAAAGGGAAAATAAAGGGGTAAATGCTTTGGTAGCGAAAGGGGAAAACACATCAGAATGTCGCATTTTTCGCCTGTCCAGAGGAAATAATGTGGATAAATTACTCACTTTTCGCCTAAATACACACAGAACTCCCTATTTTCCATCCATTGACATAACCCCAAAGGTCTACTATGTTCACCTTTATTTTCAACAACAGACCAAAATAAATCTGCAATACAGTGAAAGACCGGCATGTTTTTGAAAATTTTTATTTAAAAGGTAAAGCGTATTATTGTACAACACTAGAGCAGAAGCTTAAGCATCGATTGTTTTGCATATCCAATGCAATTGCTAATTCATTGTTATTTGAAATTATCTGCAAAAGAAGAAACACGTGATGTATTATTTATAAGGAATGTGCATTTATTCAAAAGTTCACTGACACTCAGACACACATTCTCAACACTTCTACAGTTTCCCATGTAAGTAAAAAAGTAAGCTGTTTGAAAAATATTTATTGAAATGTAGGTAGAACATCAAAACAATTGCACGGCTATTGAGAATTGAGGTAGTCGTCCCGTGAATTCAGAATTTAAAAAAAGAAAAAAGTCACAACCATATCTCAATGACATGCTTTGGTACAGCCAAATACTTGTGTACATCTACACAAGAGGCAGTAATGCTATCTTAGCTTCGTCTTTGGCAGAATCTCCACATAATTATACCTCTACCGCATGATTATGATTTATTTCCTGCAATACAATCATCTGATGGCTAATATATCCAACTGTAGGAGGTGATATTAACATCTTAATATATGTGTTATTATCATCTATAGCATATACATAATATTTACAACACTCAGGACACCTTATGTTTTCACTATAAACCTATTTCTGCCATAAAAGTCGAACAAAACAGTGAATATCAGCAGAAATTGTGATAAAGACGGGAAAAACGATAAATCTTACCATGGTATCGTTAGTTGTGACGCAGTTTTGGTAGCCTAGACGACAATACAATTTTTATGACGATATATGCCTGAATCTTCCTATTTCATATAAAAATAAAAGATTTGTCTACCATCAGTGTATATCTAATTAGAAATAATTGCTAATCTGCGATGCAAACATCGAAAAACTATTATAGCAGCACCTGAATAATGAATTTTCAAGGACTTCACGATACCATGTAACGCAAAATGGAAAAACCCCTTTTTACCCAACTATGAAAACGGAAAATAGACTTTCAAATTTATTCATAATTAATTTCGAAATTTGGTTGTGCACAAAGCAGAAATGAAAAAGTAGCGCAAAAAAGTGTCGCGATACCCCTGGAGCGCTGCCTCAGTCGTAGGCCACTTCTTTCGACTTACGCGCTTATCAATTTCAATCTTCAGTCTTCAGTTTTCAGTAATAAGGTTGATGAACCTGTGTTAATCCTGACACATTGCTTTCCAGTGAAGGTCCAGCTTTTCCTTGAAAGTATTCACTGATGGGGCTGATACCACTTGTTCGGGTAAGGCGTTCCAATGATTGACTACTCGATGAGAAAAACGGGACCCCACTCTAAGTTTATTAGATCGCGGTATATGAACCTTCTTGCTATGACCTCGCAGATTATTAGTGCTGCAGGGAGCAATAATATAAGACATTAACACCCAAATCACAATTAAAGATACCAAATGCCAGTATAAGGTCACCTCACGTCCTACGATACGACAAGAGGAAAAGATTTAGGCGTTTTAAACGCTCTTCGTAAGGGAGTCTAGAAAGACCCTTCACTAATTTCGTTCCCACACGCTGGACATACTCAAGGGAGTTAGTATCCTTTACCAGACACGGGCTAGCTGCTTGGATACAGCACTCTAAATGTGGTCTAACATATATGGGATATAAAATTCGAAACATTTCCTCGTCAAAGCATTAATGTAGAGAAGGAAGAACAGAGAGCCTAAGATGGTGCCTTGGGGTACACCACTTTTGACCGGCTTCCAATCGGATAGCGTTCCATTGACCCTCACTCTCTGTCTACGGTCACATAAGACATTTCCTATCCACTCATGTACAGTACCTATTATTCCGAAGCTCGTGAACTTCTGCATAAGACCTACGTGTGAAACCTTGTCAAATGCTTTGCTAAAATCTATGAATATCACATCGACCGACAGACCGTTATCTAGGGCTGCTATCCAATCCTCCCTCGCAATAAGCAAGTTAGTCAAGCATGAACGCTTGTTACGAAATCCGTGTTGCTCAGGAGCTAACAGATTGTGTAAATCTATGTGGCTCAGCAACCTAACCCGAATTATCTTTTCAAGTAATTTAACGACCATGCTAGTTAGACTGACAGGCCGGTAGTTAGATACTATCTGTCGCTGACCGTCCTTAAATATAGGACTGACTATAGCGTCCTTCCAATCTCTATGGCGTTGAGCGAGTGAGAGGGACATGTTGAAGAGTGACGCGAGTGGTTTTGAAATAATATCCGCAAGAGATGACAGCAGCCGTGGATGTAACCCGTCAGGGCCCGGTATCTTACCAGGTTTGAGGTTAGTTATCAACGGAAGGACAGTTCTCTCAGTCACCTTTACAGATTCCATGGTTGGTATCTCGGTGTGAGTGGGACATGTATTTGTTACAATTAACGTAGAGAAGACTTCGCTTAAATAGTTTGAAAAAGTCTCAGCTTTTGCTCGGTCTGATGCAGCTAGTTGTTATGGCTTTAAGTTGCGGTCGACTTTTACCCTGTGTTATCGATCGATTACAGTGACACGTAAACACGAACGGACGGCCTAGAGTCTCAATTGGTCTCGCTTCCCTGTCTAGCCCAGTCAGTTGAGTCCAGAACACAAGTCACAACCTCTGAGATATGAATCGTTATATTTCAAACATACTTTGTTTATATACCAATCAAGCATACCACATCGTACCATAAAAATAGAAAACAACATTTTGTACAATATTCAACAAGTGAACAGATATCGACCAATAGGTGATATCCATTTAAAGTCCAAGGACACCATTGGACTTAACATGATAATTATTGGTCTATTCCTCCGCATCCACAACACTAGTAATTCTGAATTTTCGTGTAACAGTAACGGGGGAATACCATCACTGCGTTTCATTTGCCGTTTAACATACGAAAACAATCGTTTCGGACAAGTACGGCTATCATATACTAACTATCGTTCGTAAGTGATACGGGATTTGGCTATGGTTTTCTTACAGATATTACGGTATTTTTGGTACTCACGCTTAAATGGTGCATGACCTGTCAACAGGAATAAGTCCCAGAAATGTTTTCTACGCTTTAACAGCTTCCGGGTTTCCTTATTAATCCGCGTCGACCGACCAATCAGTTGAGATAGCACAGTTTCTGATTTCCGGAATATTGGCTCGCCAAATATTGGGACGGGGTGGAGCAGATACGAATTGTATACCATGTGTCCTAAACTTAAAGTGAATTACAACGTGATCACTGTTCACTAGTGGGGGAAGGTGCTGAATACCAAAGACATCCTCACAGTGGTGGGTGAGGGCGAGGTCCAACAGTGACGGATCATGATTGAAATCAATATGTGTCGGTTTTGTGATGCATTGTACAAGTGCACACTGAATAACGGTAGATAAAAGGTCGCTATCGAAACCACTACCTGGAGCTGTAAGCTCTATCCAGCTGATATGCGGTGCATTGAAGTCCTCAATGATGAGACAACATTCTGCCATACTCCAAGAACAGATGTGTCTTAGGATAAAGTCACCAGCAAGATTAAACGAACTACGGTATATTCCGCCTATAGTCACTAAAACATTTCTAGATTTAATCTTACAACATACACCTCACATGTACCACTGATATGAGCCTCCGATATGGTTGATTGTATACGAAAGTGATCCCTAACGTATAATATTATACCTCCCCCTTTGCGACTTGAAACTCTACCACTTCTGATACAGATATAACCAGCAATGAAAGGAGAACAGTCTATATCAAGGGTGAACCAAGTTTCTGTAACAACGATTATATCGGGACATAATTCTTGCACCATCAGACTTGGCTCGGACGTTTTATTTCTAAGACCACGAGCGTTCGTGTAGCATACACTTAAGGTGTTTTGGAAATCAATCGTTCTACCCACACAGACCTCGGAAGCATTGGCTTCCAAGACCTGACTACCCGAAAACCCTTAATGGTAAGGTTATTTTCGCCATTTAATTTGCGAGTCCTCAACTCCGTAAGAGCATTCTTCCACTTGATTCGATCCTCAAGCGGCCAATCTGGTCGAATACTGATATTTGAGGCACGAGTTTTTAGTGCGCTTTTCAATAATATGTCTCTTTCTTCAAAGCTCCCGAGAACCAGCTTCAGGATTCTTCTTGGTTGGGTCTCGCCTCCAACTCATTTACCAAGTCGTATTACTTTTGTAATATGTACCCCTGAAATCTCTTCAGGTAGTACATTCCTTACCACAGACTCCACTAACTGCAGGTCATGCGCATGTCTTCTAGCAGGGTCGTTGTCTTTCGACCCCTCTACATTCCAAATAATTAAACTAGGGAGGGGTTTAGCTTCTTTTGAAACTGTGTTCACAGCTTTCGACCGTGACGTTAGATCCTGTATTTTAACTACTGGTAGCTTACGATTAGTTTTTATTTTAACAGAGTTCTGGGAGTCAGGCGAATGACTCACAACAATGTCAGACGAAGCTTTACTATGGGACTTTGGCGGAATGGGCTGAGAGTCCACCGAGGACTTACCAAGTAAACAGTCATTAGTTTCAGCTATCTTTCTCACTCTTCTGCGTTTTCGCGTCATCCACTTTCCATCAGTCGAAACGTCTACATTAGAACAACTCGGGACAGTAATTGTTTTATCTGGGTCACCGGTTGCTGCTGTAGCAATATGGCCACCAACGTCTAATGACGTGTCACTCACTGATCGTTTCGGGGGAGAACGTTTAACTGCGGGTTGCACAGGTAGATGTCTAGCTTGCGCCGTGATAGCACTTACGACACTAACGCAATCTTCGCCAACAGTGCCAATGTTATCAGTACAGCCCTCATCAACCTTCTTATTAGCCAACACCAGGAGATTATTGCTTCCTGGATAAGCAGTGTTTTGCTCGAGCAACAAAAACTACAAAGCCAATGGGAGTTGGGCTTTGAACACCTTTTATATGCAGTGGAGCTTAATCGGGTGCATATCTTATGGAACCACTTATTACACTCATCACAGTACATCCCTTCATCCACCGGAAATAAGCAGTATGATTGTCCACATTTATGAGTAGACCGAGCCATCTTGAAAATCAACTAGAACGGTGACAAAAACAGGATATGTAAAAGGTTTTTTAAACCTTAACTAAATAAATCAAGTAAAAGTCGACCAAGTGTGCTTCGATGCAATAAATACACAAAAGCAAAATCGAAAAACTCAATACAATATCACTTTAACTGGGGTAGATGCAATTAAAGTGTAAACAGTAGTTTTGATGCGTATTTTGCGATCAAAACAGTTCATTAACTCAACGAGAAAGAATACCACTGTCCTTTTAAATAGAGCGCTCAAGTTATTTTTTTGTCTATCTTCAGGCTTTAGTAATAAGCATAGGAGGTCTATCAACCTACATTAATCCTTGCAGTTTGTAATACTGTAGAGGTCCAATGTCGGTTTAAATATATCAGCAGAAGGTGCTGATATTACGTGTTCCAGTAGAGAATTCCAGTAATTCACTACTCGGTGCGAGAAACGGAACTCCAGACGTAAACGGTTTGATCTCGGTTTTTGAACTGTCTTCGAATGTCCTCTCAAATGATCGGTTCTAGACGGAAGCAAAAGATAAGACATGTTAATACCAAGGTCATCGTTCAGTATACGATAAGCCAATATTAGATCACCCCGTACTCTACGGTAAGATAACGGAAATAAGTTAAGGTGTCTCAGTCTGTCTTCATAAGATAGGCCAGATAGACCTTGTACCATCTTAGTAGCTCGTCGTTGGACTCTTTCTAGCATATCTGCTTCATATTTGAAACAAGGACTCACTGCTTGAATCCCATATACTGAATGTGGTCGTACGTAAATCGGGTATAATAATCTAAGTATTTCGTCATCTAAATACTGGAAAGACCTACGAATAGATCATAATACCCTACAGCCTTTCGCAGCAGCAGCCATACAGTGAAGTGTGGTTTTGAGATCTTTGCTTGATACGACTCCTAAATCTTTATAGTTCCTTACTTTTGGTAGCACGAATCCACATATTGTGTAGTAATACGAATCATCATAGTTATTTAATTGCATCACAACACTCTTGTTAGGGTTCACTTCTAGTGACCATCCATCTATCCATGTTAACAGCCAGTTGAGATCATCCTTTCAGTACTATTCTATCTGAAAAACTGTGTTTGAGTCTCCAACTTTTCATGTCATCAGCGAAGAGTAGAACGGATGATTTCGCTACAGTTGGTAATTCACTTACATAAAGTGAAAAGAGAAGAGGACTGGGGATTGTACCTTGGGGAGCCCCACTTTTTACAGGTACCCACGATGAGAGAGCCCCCTTAACCCTTGCCCTTTGTCTCTTGTCGTGGAGAAAGTTACTTATCTAATCTACGACTGTATAATGGATTCCCAAACGTTCCAGTTTGAATCTAAGGCCAGAGTGGGAGACCTTACCAAAGGAATAGCTTAGATCTATGAAGATCATATTCACAGGAATATTCTGATCTTTTACAGCAGCCCAATCTTCTCTTGCAATGAGAAGATTTGTCAAGCATGATAGGCCTCTCCGAAAACCATGTTGTTCCCTGGAGAAAATATTGTGCCCTTCAACATAGCTTATAACAGATATCCGAATGATTTTTTCCATCAGCCTTATACACCGGTCTTATTACAGCGTGTTTCCAGTTTCTGGGCAGTCTGGACGGCCTTAGAGACATGTCAGGCAGTATCGTTAATGGATTAGCATCCGATATGGCTTCATAATCCTAGGATGAATACCATCAGTACCACTGGTTTTATCAGGTTTGCGATGCTGAAGTAGCCCTAAAACAGTGCCTTTCTCAATGACTACAGGGTCCATCAACGAGCTACCACAACAATGAATCGTTTGTCGTTCTTCATTACTGATAGAAAACACCTTACTGAAATATTCAGATAAAGCTCCAGCTTTTTCGGTATCATTTCTTGCCAAGATTAACGGATTTTCTTTGTAGATCAAAAGGGATGGAATTCCATCGCTTCTCTGAGTTCGCCTTTTTATATACTAGAATAACCGTTTCGGACTATATCTAGAATCCTTAACCAATCGTTTTTCGTATGATCGTCTGGTCTTACTTATCAACGCTTTACAGGTATTCCTAATCTTACAATAACTGGATCTGTATTGTTCTAAGCCAGTAGAGATGAACATATTCCAGTGCTTCTTCCTTTTTCCTAAGAAGTTTCCTGACTGGTTTAGTTATCCATGGTGGACCGTTATTCGGTCTACGCGGTACCAGGTATGGTATGAACGAGGACGTAACTAAATTAAACTTACCTTTAAATATAGACCATGCTTCTTCAACTGATAAGCCGGTATCTACAAACCAATCTGTGTTGGCAGCGCACTCCTGAATGGCTGATATGTTAGCGCTCTATGCATTTGGGCGAGGCTTAACCTGATCGCATATCACGTCACCAGCTCTAAACGTGACTGACAAAACAGCGTGATCGCTATTCACTAACGATGGAAGAATATTTAGGTTGGCCATATCATCAATCGCACGAGCGATTACTAAGTCCAACGAAGGAGAACCTTGGTTTGCACCAAAACGCGTGGGTTTGGATACATGCTATACGGATGCATGCTCCGTTTCCGTTATCAGGAACCTACTATCAAAGGAGTTTATAGATCTTACGGAGGCCATCTCATCCCAATTAATATTAGGTCCATGAAAGTCTCTCAGTATCGAGCATCTGTCATTTGCACTCCATTACTGAATATGTTATAAAATGAAGTCATCAGCTAAGCAGATTGGGCTGCGATAGATGACACCGAGTATAGATGTACAACATTCGATAGTGAGCTGACAGATAATGACTTCAAATTTTCACTATCATGAGACTCGCAAGCAAAGGAGCGGATATTTACATTGTTGGTTATGTATAAAAGAACGCCACCTCCTTTCCTAAATTTGTGTCTATCACTCTAGGTAATGGTATCTGGATAGTTCTGGAGTAATGTAGAAGGCATGGACTAATCAAGTTTCCATCTGTTACAATGAGTGGCCTTAATCTGTCCACTAATGCTTCTAGTTCATGGAACTTATTTCTCATACTACGAGCGTTGGCATAGGTAGAACGGCCTATCCACACAGGCCTTGGCAGCACTCGCTTCCAGAACCTGATTATTCGGAAATCCACTAATCGGAGATTTTCCCCACCATTTTGTCAACGGGTTTCTAGTTCAGCTAGTGTTCTCTTCATTTTTACTCTATCTTCGAGAGACACATCAGGTCTAACTCGGATGTCAGAATTGTCGTTACAACGAGCGCTACTTAACAGAAGATCCTGTTGCTTCTCCGATCCTAGGATTACCTTAAGGTGTCTGCTTGGTCGGAGTTCAACATTGTCTTTAGTCCTCTTGCCTATTCTAACCAGTATTTTTTACCTGAACTCCTTTAGAGTTATCTGGTAAGATACTACGAATATTTTCTCCCAGCTTCTCTAAATCATGTGTGTGTTTAATCTTGGGATCAGGATCGTTTGACTCCAGTAATTCGCTCACAATAATATTCGATGATATTAGATACTTCTCAGTCACGCCAGGGTGGGTTTTTCTCTTACTATCAGGTTTTTGTGACTCACAATGGGAGTCCACCAGTGACTTGCTAACCACCTGTGTACTGCCTACAGCTTTCTTCTTTTCGTTCCGTTTTCTCCGTACTGTAGTCCATTTTTCATCCGTCAGGACACTGGAACTATTTGGAGCGGAGACGGTTTATCCAGATCTTCAGTTTCTACTAGAGGTGCATGGTTACCAATTTTCCCTGTTGATTATAATATGCTTTTTAAATAGACAGAAAAATGGTTTTTCAAGGCTTGAATGATTCGATATTAAAAAGCCAAGTTGTTTATTATTAACAGAAATATGAGCATTCTTTTGTATTCGAATGAATTATCTTATCACCTTTTAGTGGTTTGTATTACAGGTCAAACACCATGATGCTGGCAAATTTTCGAGTTATCGTCATTTTACTCATGAGGGCCTAGTTTATGGCAGTCAAAACGCCTGTTGAAACCACTTCTAAGGTGATTAGCTGAATCAACTTGTGGAATGGCAGTGCTTCAGCTGGTGTATTGTCAGGTTCTGATGATTTTTCACTCTTGATTTGTCTTATGGCCATACAGCTTTCTTAGATCATTGGTGTAGTGGCATCTGTAGAAAGGTCTGGGTGTGCTGCTTTAATGTCCGGTGGACTCAGTAGAGCCGGCGTTTTTAAGTGTTTCTTAAAGTATTCTGCCCAGCTGTTTTGCTGTTCTTAAGTCTTAGTGATTGGCTTGACTACGTTGTCCTTGACTGGTCGTTCTGATTTGCTCTAGTTCCCTTTTGGTTTCTTCTGTTCGTCATATTGTTGTTTCATATTCCCTTCTCTTGTGGCATTTTCCACTGTCACTACTAGGTCTTCCACGTGTTTCTACGTGCCAGCTTTAATACTCCAATTCACTTTCTTATTTGCTTCAGTGTATTCATCTTGTGTCTTGACTTTCTATGTTCTTGTTTGGCCATAGTTAATTACTGGCTACTTGTTCTTCCTTTCTTGAATCTTGTGTAGGCTTTTGATAGAGATCCTTTTCTATCATGATGCTCCTTACGGTACTGAACCTCCAGATACGTTGAAGTTAGTGCTTCTTTGACCCCTTTCCAGTTGTTCTCCATAGTAGATTCTCCTTTTTTGAGTGGATCTTGTAATGCTTGGAACCTGTTTTGAAGAGTTATCTCAAGTTCGATGAGTTTGTCAGTATGTCGAAAGAAGGATATACTTAACGTTCGCAATGTTGTTTCTTCAGTTGTCTATTGCTTCCTTAGATTCAATTCCATCTTGGTAACCACCAGTTAGTGGTGATCTGATTCTATGTCAGATCCTCTCCCGATTTTCACGTCCCCCACTGTTGATTTTTTACTGATGGAAATGTAATCGATCCGGTTGTGTGTAGTGTGATCCGGTGAGACCCATGTATGCGTTTGTAAATGAATATTGTGCCGCAAATAACCAATCCGTTGAGTGCACATAGATTTGCAAACCTTTCACCATTCTTGTTCCTTTCTCCTTGTCTATGTCGCCCCACGATATCTTCATATCCTGTGCTGTTCATTCTGACTTTGATGTTTTTGTTTCCTGTCAGGATATTCAGGTTCTTTTCTGATCGACTTCAGACTCTCGTGAAATCGATATTTATCGTCTTCTTGGTCATTATATATGGGTTCATATCACTGTGATCCACTCATTGATTGTTTTGAGAGTTGCGGTTATGATTTTAGGTCCATAAAATTTTCATCTTACAAGTTTTGTTCATGCCTCTTTGGACGAGACTATTGCAAATCCCTGTATGAGTGTGTAGCATTTTCTTCCGCACGACCAGAGTACGATAGCACCTTTCTTGAAGCTAATGATTTCGCTCCAGCCTGAGTCCAATCTTTTCATTAAGTGCGAGAGCCGCCAAGCTGTACCTCTTGGTTTTCACAGCTTTTTAGTTGGTCATCCCGGTCTCCTTTATTGTATGAATATTCCATGTACTTTTGTAATTTGTTGGTGTGGTTGTCACACTAGGCATCGGCCTTGTGACCTCCGAAGAATCTCTGCCTTCACTATGAGGCGTTAGAAATCTTCTAAATGGAGACCCATCAACTCCCAAGACATAGCTTAGATGGTTTGATTTGTTCTTCGTTCTGGTTAGTTTTCTTCACGAGGATGTTTTCTACGGGATGAGGTCTTTGAGAACATTTACAACTAAGATAATAAAAAGTATTAAAATCAGTGTGCTAACTAAGAATTCCCGATATAGTGCATTTTAAGACAGGTAGAACTAGATGAGCAAAAACGAATGTAATATATTTGAAATTCGTAATTAGCGTATGAACAAGTACTAAA